CTAAATTTGTAGTCATATTTTTTTGTGATTCAACTTCAATCTAAATAGTCCATAAAATAAATGTATCAAATTATTTACACGAGAAGATAAAAAAAAAGAAAAGATCTCAAATGAATTATTTACTTGATCTTCTAATTCTCGAATTTCTCGTATAATAACGCCAATATCTTCGACAATTTTATAAATATTATCACAATCAGAATGAAAAGCAACTAACATTTTATATGAACGTCGAGCACATTCATCTGTTTTTGCATCCTATAGGAAAGAAAAGTTTTTATTTATTTTATTTTATTTTTTTTGTCTTTAACATCATAAGATATTTACTTTAAATAATTGACTATCAGTTACTTGAAATGTTCGTTCAAGTTTTTCTGTAAGTCGATTTAAATCTTTTTGTAAAACACGTGTTTCAATAATAGTTTTATTTATTTCTTCTTTTTGTTTATTTGTATTAGTAACAATTTCAAGTATTTGTTTTGTAAAAAATGATCTTGAATGATCATTTTTTGACATAGATGATTTATGTGTTTCATAATCATGTTGAAGACGAACTAATTGTTCATCTTTTTCTTTAATATCATTTAATAATAAACGTCCTTTAGCTTTCATATCATTTATTTCTGATAGTTTATCATTAAATTTTGTTAAACGATCATTAAGTGCTTGAAGAAGATTATCACGTTGTTCAATAAGACTTGAACGAACATCTGTCCATTGAGTTTCAAGTGTAATTAATTTATTTTTTAATTTATCAATAGCATTCTATAAACAGAGAAAAGAATTTCAATATAGATTCATATAAGAAATAATATAAATCTATTGTTTAAAACTGGATTTTTAACATATTATCCAAAATATCTCATAGAAAGCAATTGTTCGCGATCGTAGTTATAAGTTTCACATTCATGAGAAAAAAAAATGAGTTGAGTCGCTTAACTCACAAGCGAAGTCCTTCAACTGATAAATCGTTTTGAAGTATGGACTGTGCATCATGTAGACCTTAATGAGTTATGAATACCTTGAAAATAGTTCGAACATTTAGCTTATTATTGCTGAGATGCTGTATTTTTTTTTAAGTCTATGCCGTAGTCTCCCTTAGAAACACTAGGAAAATTCATTTTCAAATTTCGATTTGTTTCTTGTCTGTGAATAAGAACATGAAATCTATCGATGAATATGAACAATGAAAATATATGAAATTTTCACAATAAAAAAATTCTCCATGAAATCAGTCTCTAGGATAAGTTTCAAGTCGAAATTTGAAAATGAGTTTTCCTAGTGGTTCTAAAGAATATCATAGCATCGCTTTAAAAAATACACTATCTCAGCAACAATAAGCTAAAAATTCGAATTATTTTCAGAGTATCCATCATTTATTAGAGTCCGTATTATGCATATAGTCTCGATTCAAAAGCGATTAAAATTAGTTAGAAGACTCTTCTCGTCAATCAAATCCGATAAAAATACTAGGAATCCCAATAGCCAAGGTTATATAAAGCATAAGTTTCAAGTGCAGAAAATCCAGAGAAGCATTCAGAAGTTCTAACTTTTTATATTGATCAGAAAGATTTCTGTTTAAAAGTATACTCCAAAGTTAATGAAGTAGATGATATACTTGAACATATTACCAACATAATATTTCTGTTCAGTCCTAAGTATGAGGATATATTTAATAGTCTAACTCTGAAATGATAAGTCAGTTTTCTTTACCTGTAAACGTTCTGTTTCTGGATCAACTGATAATAAATAAGCAGCTGCTTGTTTTTTTACTGTCATATCTTTATTTATATTATCAATTTCTGTTTTTGTTTCATCAGAAAATCGTTCATACTAAATAAAATCAATAATTAAAATATAACTTTTATTTATTTATTTATTGATATTAACTTACTTTTTTAATACTTTCTTCTAATTTTTGTAATTGTAATTCAAGTTGACGAATAAGTTCTTCATTTTCATTAATAGAAGTTTTTAATTGTTCTAATTCTTCTGTATGATCAATATTTCGTTTTAAATTTTCATCTAAACCATTTGATTGTTGTTCATGAATATTTGTATGCATAAAACGTGATCGTGTTAATAATGAATCATCAATATTCTTTTTCCTATCACCACGATTTATATATTCATATTTTGCACCAATTGTATCACCTTCATGAATTTGTTGACAAATTTCTTTAGAAAATTTATGTGTAATCAATTGACCTGGAATCTAATATCAAAAATAATCAATATCTATTAAGAAATATTTCTTAAGACAAAAAACAAACAAACCAAATAACTCGATTCTCGTTGTTTTTCTATCCAACAAGATACTTGATTTTCATACATTAATGAATCAGCTAAATTTCGAAAATCAACTTGTTCAAAAACATATGAACTTGAATCTATATATATATATATATTAAAAAATTGAATAAATTAAAAATAAAAGAATGATATTAAGTTCGTCGTACTTGTTGATAATTTATTCTTGCCATTAATTGGAGGAAGATGAAGAGGTAATACTTGAGAACATTTTGTTGGTGTAAAACCCTAATTTAAATAATAATGATATAAAAAAAAATAAAAATAAAATTCATAATTATTCTACTGATTTATGAGCAAATGATGCAGCTGGATGATGAAATGGAATGTAACAAAGATCAATAACAAGATCATGTGATATCCATGTTGATTCAGCTAATTGTGTTGTAATTTTATGTGATAGAATTCGATCAAGAGCATCCCAAGGATCTAAAAATTATTTTATAAAATGATTTTCATTTTTAACAAGCTAAAAAAAAATAACCAATAATAATAATAATTCTACTTACCAAGTGTTGTCGATGCAACAGTAACAGCAGCTTCTCTTGGTACTTTTTCAATAAGAAAATTAAGTAGTTTTCTTGTTTCATGTTCATTTATGCTTAAAAATGTTTGATAACCAATATCACCTCTATAACCATTAGACTACTAAATACAATTTTGTTTATAAGTTTCAATTACAAAAACATATATATATTTATTTCACAACCTGACAAAGTTGTGCCAATTCACCACAAACTTTAAATCGTGTTGAAATATTTGGTGGTAAACGTGTCGGTAAATCTTTATTACCCGTAATTAATTGAAGACATTGTGAAACACAACCAAAAAGAGTATTCACATCGAATTCACTGATATTTTGAAGGGAATCGTCTACTTGACTATGATAAAATTAGAATGTCTCGTTTTTAATAAGGAATTTTAATATTGATATAATAAACTTACCATCCAATATCACGTAAACTTTGTATTAAAATTCTATCAACTTCTTCCATTTTAACAAGTAAATACACTAATATTTATCTATGAAAGTGCAACAAAAAGATAAAAATAATAGTATGATGCTAGTAAAATTAACTTGTATGATAGAAAGAAAGAAAATATCTATTGGACAATGAAAAGACCAATAAAAAAAATTAATAGTTGGATGTTCAAGTTTCATTTTTTAGAAATCCTTTTATGAACGTCTACACATGTCTAGAAAACATAGAACTAGAAGTCATTCAATTGTAATTAGTCAGCCATTTGTACGATTAACTAGACAGTTAAAACCGTTCATCCTTCCAAAGAATTCTCTTTTAAATGAGAGTAGTCCAAGCGCTATAGCTTGATATGTATTGAAAGAAAAAAAAAATATTTGCATGCATTTAAATTCTATTTCACATTGTGGCTTTTGAAAATTTCCTGAATGATAAGATTTAAAGTCATGAAAATCTGATGCATTGTATAGAAAATCGATTTTGAGTAGAGAAGAGGCGATCTTAACTGAGATATTTGTGAAGTTATCATGAAATTCATAACATTAAATGAACATGTCTCAATTAATTCAAAGCTTCAAATTTTCCACCAGTGTAAGATTAATGGTGAATTTGGTGTTACATCCATTATTTTTAATTCAGCTAAATGTTTCTCTTCATTTTTATGGATAACATTTCTTTTGACACAAAAAAACTATATAGAACTATCAATGAAACTAATCAATATTGTTGTTAAATATAAGAACATACCAGATGCTATAGTTCAAAAATCTCACTAAATTCTTTATAAGTTGAGATTTTTGTTTCTCGTCGACTTCGAGAAGATTTTCTTCTAAACTAAGCTTCGTCAACACTTCATACGGTTTCTAATGTCTTTAAAAATCTTGCAAAGCATGTGATTAAATGAAACTATTACTCTGATTTTTGCAAGTCATATCAAATGCAGATATGCTTAAATATATCCTAGTTCGATCATCCACATACTTTTCGAAATCAATTTATTTAACACTCTGATACTTTTTTCCTCTTCCTTGCACTATGACAGTGAACCTTTTTTTTTGTCCAACATTTTTGGTTCACAATAATAAAGAAAGAAAGGAATCAGTATAGTGACATCTTTTTCTTAATCGTATATCTATCCATTATAAAAATGTCCGATACTATTGGTCATTCGACTTTTTTTTCAAAACTGTTTAAATAGTTTAATTCAACTAGATGAAATAGATAGTTTCCCTCAAAAAAAAAAGAAAATATGAATATTGCTTGTACAATTTGTTTGGATCGATTTTTTCTTTCATCAACTATATCAGCTTCTCCATGTGGTCATTTATTTCATGATAAATGTTTGGATCGATGGCTTATCGACGAACGAAAAAAAACTTGTCCACAATGTCGTACATCAATTACACCAAAACAAATTTTAAAGTAAAAACAAAAATTGTTCTCGTATATAAAATCATATATGACATTGTTTTTGTTCTTACAGAAAACTTTATTTAATGGAACCACTCTGTCAAACACAAGTACCATCGGGTGGTCAAGATTCTTCTGAACTTCTTAATCAACTTGAAACACAAGAAACAAAAATTCTTGAATGTGAACAACGTTGTCGAAAAGCTTTAAATGATTTACAAAAAGTAAATGAATATTATTACATTCTATTGTTATAATATATTATATTGATGATTAGAGTGAAGAACGACTACAGTTAATATGCTAATCGAACAATACAAGTAGATAATTGTTTTAGTTTTTTTTATAAATATATTTCATTCGATATTTATCTTTTAGACATGTTGATTTATCAAATAAAAAAGATGAACAAATTAAATCTTTACAAATAAAATTAGGTGAATATCGAAATGTTGATCTAATTTATAAAGGTATATCTTTTATCATATTGTTTTATTTTAATGAACAATATTTGACTTTATTGTTTTTTTTTCTTATTATTAAGGTCTTGCAAGTCATTTTAAAGCGGAATTACAAAAAATGGTTGGATCTTGTCAAACAATTCAAGATAAAGATCGTGTTATAGAAGAATTAATACGTTATAATGTTATATTAAAAGAAGAACATAGTAAAATGTCTGATGATAAACAAGATTTAATAAGAAATTTAGATCGTATAACTACACAATGTGAAAAAATGCAATTAGAAAAACGACAAGCATTCAAAAAGTAATATTTATTGAAAAATTTAATGACTTTTAAAAGAAACAGTTTCATTTTAATTTTTTTGAAATTCTGGTGTTATAACTGTTTACAATTTTTATACTCAGCTATGAACTACTTTATATTTTAGTGAAAATCGATTGTGAAGTTTTTCTTTAAGTTTCATGACTAATGGACATTTGAAAAACAAAAATCCAGATGGTTGCATCAGTCAACCGTTACGATGTGTGTTGAAGTGTTGTTATTCTAGTAATTGAAAAAGAGCTGAAATTGTTTTTAAAAATTAGATGATAGCTATATTTTGTCGTTGCTTATCAGAATCATGGTTTCCGATTAAGGGGAGGAGGCTTTCCCTCCTAAAATATTCGACATTCTACGAAAGTTCTTAACATTTTGTGCTAATTTTTTTTTTACAGCTTCGTATTAACTTTGGTTAGCAACAGGATTTTGAAACATCATTTCGCTTTCTCTCGCAAAAATTGAAACAAATATGAGTAGACAATGCCGTTGTGAAGTGCATAGAATTGGAGAGGAGCGACCTAGTGGTAGGAGTTGAGTCATAGTGGATTCGTTCTTTCCATCCGTCCCCCGAGCTCCACTTCTAGTACTCCGAGACTGTTTGGATTTTCAGTCCTTTCTACTGCTAGAAAATATCGACAATCCTAATCAGAGCAGAAGTCTTATATTTTTGAGAAAAGAGTTTAGTTAGCCATTGGTTTTTAATATCTTAATTGATAACATTGAATACATTAGAACATAATCTACCTTCATTTTGTTATATCTATAAGCAAAAAAAATGATTTATTTATTTGCTTACAAAGTATTTTCAAATATCTGTCGAAAGACCATATGGAAAGATTTTCCCGTAATATAATAAAAATCTATACATAGATAAAATATTAAATTAATCAGTATCCAACACTTGAGATTTATCTCTAATATGAGATATGTAAGATTATCCTACCGTACCCTACAGGTTACGGTAAGGTAGGGATTAGAAAATTTTTCTCAGTCAACATACAGAATACAAACAACCCTTATCCTGCACATCTCTAATTGATTAAGAAAAAAAAAAAGATAAATGTTGATTAACATGATTTTCTATATTTAGACAAACAACTACAGCCGATAACACTAAACAAGAATTAGCATCTGCTCGTCAACAACTTGAATCTTATCAGTCACGTGTTAATCAGTTAGAATCACTTTTATTTCGTACTGCTTCACCTGATACACGTTCTTTTGCTCGACGTGTTCTTCATGAAAGTCCAATGTCAGATAGTGTTACACAAAAAGTTCGTGTACGACTTGCAGAACCATTAGAATCAATTCCTATTCCTGTTGTTGATGATGAAAGTTCAAAAGAAGATGAAATTGATTTAAATATGATTGATCTTACAAATGTTCCTGAAAGATCATCATCATCATCATCATCATCAGTATTTTCTACTCAACAATTTGCAACAACAATATCAGCTATTGATATTCTTCATTCAGTAATTCAAGAAACAACATCAAGTCTTGATTTACCAATAATTAAAAAAATGAAAGTTAGAAAATTAGATGATGATATTGAAGAAAATGATGATTATCTTGTTCGTCCATTAGTACAAAATCAAAATAATTTTAAACGAACTTTTAATAAATTTGGTGGACATTCAATACCAATAACACGACGTATAAGTAATACAACATTTAAATCAAAACCAAAATCAACTAAACCAAAACATATTTCAACTAAAAACAATCATAAAATAACAACATTTTTTGTTTAAACTAATTACATTTATTTATTTTTCCCCTTTTTTGTTTGTTTGTTATACAATTTAAAATTTGAAGAAAGAACAAAACAAAACAAAAATACATAATTAAAACTAGAAATCAATTTTCTTTTGTATATTGTTTTGTTCTTGTTGTTGTTGTTGTTTAGCAATTACTAGTCGATTATACATTTCTACTTCATATCGAAGTCTTTTTAAATGATCAATTCTCATATTATATTTATCTTCATCTGTTTCTATTTGTTTTTCTTTATCTATTTTTGAATTTGTTTTCTTCTCAGATATAATTTTTTGTTTGAGATAATCAAAATTAATTTGATATTCATAAAGATGAGAATTCATTTTTTTTAAATAATATCTTAATTTTTGAATATCTTCTTCATATTGATGATTATGTTGAATAGATAAATGAAGTTGTTCATTTAATTTTTTATTTTCTTCATAAAGACGTAAAAATTTTTGACGTTCAAAATGAATTATATAATTACGACGAATACATTCTTGACATTCATGTTGTTTTTTATATTGTTCTTGAAGAATAGAAATATTTGTAATTGGATTCGATTTTTCTTCAGTAAAAAATAATTCAGATGGTTGCGTAACTTGATAAGCAGTAAATGTATCATGACGTTGGCGAATTACATTTTCAGATGATGTGAAATGCAATGAATCTAATTTGAATAAAAAAAGAAACAAAAGGCAAATAGACTTTATTTCCTTGTCAATATTAGATATATGTAGAGTAGAATAAACATGCTGCAGGGTAGGATAGGGCAAGGGTAAGAAAATCTTTCGTAGTCAGAATACACGGTATAAAAAAGTTTCCCCCTGCACCTCTCTAAACAATATTAGAAAAAAATAAAAACTTTTATATACCATTGCCATCATTAGTATTATTAGTTTCTGGAAATTCATTAGATGAATTAATTAATGATAATGATTCTGTTGGATAATGATGTTGGTTAAGTTTATTTTTAACATGATCTGACAGTTGAATAACTTGTCGATGACGTTGCATTTTATGTTAATTGTTAACAATAATTGTATGGTATAGAGTTTGCTTTGTTTTTTATATTAATTCAACAAAATGAAAAAAAAAAGGAAAAGCATGATTCTGTTTTTCTTCTCTTTCACACTCTTTTCTCATTCCGGAACACATCGAATCTTTCACACCTTATGATTTTTTCTAGTATTGTTCTTTTTCTTTTCTTTTAATTATTTTTCTCATCGTTCGAGTTTCTAAATGATACTTTAAAAAATAAAAGTATATCTAATATGTTTGTAATTATAGCAATGACTTAAATTGTAGCTGTTATTATTAACTATGAATGTCATATTTCAAATTAAGAATCCGTAGATGTAAATTTTAAATTTAATTTTTTCAATTTCAATAGTGCGTTAAAATTTCTTCTCTAAGAACTCTTAAATAAATATTAACATCGATTTATTCTAAATTTAATGGTATTTTTTTCATTAAAATTCCTAACAAATACCTTTAAATTAATAATAGTTCATTGAAACTAGAAGTTAACAGCATATAACAGTTATTCATATTTATAAAATATCTGCAATAGCACTTAGATGTGATAATTGACTAAATTATGCATAAGAGTTGGCATTTGATTATTTTTATAAATTAATCGTAGTATAAATTATTCAATTAATCATACTGTCACACTTAAAATCAAGCTTTTGATGATTATCGAATGCATTTCTTTGTTTATATTCTGGTTTAATATGTCAAAAAAAAAGAAAACATCAGACTAATCCGTTTCATATCTATTTTGAATGCAACCCTATTTTTTATTGTTCGATCAAAACAGTCATTTAACATATATCTTCATTATTAATAATGAATACAAGTACAAAAATATAAATACAATGAATAAGTAAAGATCCATCCTTAATAATAAAAAAATTAACAGTAAAATAGTACATAACTCATTGTAATATTTTTACCTCCCAACATACTTTTATTTTTTCAAATATAAATAAACATTTTGAAAAAAACTCTTCTCTTCCTATCTTAAGCATTTCTTTAGTGAATGTCATAAAATAACAAATGAGAACTGCATATATATAGATAATTAATATTAAAATATTGAATAAAAAATAATAAACGAATAGAAAGAAAATTTACACTATTTAATAACTGTTCTATATCGATTGAAATATTTCATCGTAAAAAAAGAATTTCTATTTTCTTCTCTGTAGAAATCAATTCAGTCAAATATTTTTATGTTTTAAATACATTCACTTAATTACTTTAAACTATGACATTTACGAATGTTATCAAATGTAAATTGTACTATTAGAATAATAGTACTTATGATAGAACTGTCAATCATAACCTGTATTAATCCTACAATTATTTTTAAGAGAATCAATTAGAATAATTTTTCTATTCGAACACTGAAAAATAATTACATATGCATAATTTAGCTCAAATGTCAGCATCGATACGTAATTCAAAAATGTTATCTAAAATAGTATATTTTCGATATTATTTGAAATAGTGGAAGCAATATATGAAAAATAACGTTGCAAGTTCCTTATTGGTTTTTTTTATTTGTTTTATTCATAGTTGACAGTTTGTTTAAGTTATGAATGAATTAATGTTATTCATGGGTTTGAATATGTATAGATAAAAAATCATATCTTCACTTCCTCACACTCACACCTGTTACTAGGGGCATAGCCAAGAATTTTTCAACGGAATGCTTGATTTGTTATGGGGATGCACACCAGCAGGAAAATAATATTTTGTCTCGCGAAAAAATATTTTATCCGTATACTTCCTCAGGTATTTTTTGGCTAAGAGGATGCATAAGTATCCCAAGTAGCATTAATTTTAGCTAATCCTATCAAATAGTAAGGCTAAAAAAATCTGTTAATGCTGTTTCAGATTGGAATCTACGTTTCTCTGGTTGTCACCATGTGCCTACAAAGAACATTTTCAATCTTATTATTGATCTTATTAGTTGAAAATGCATTGATTCATCTGTATCGATCAACTCTATCGACTATTTTTCTTAAAAACCTAACTTTTTCTAAAAGAAACAGAAAATAGAAGATTTTTAAAAAAAAACAGATATGAGAAAGAGGCACTGTGGAATGTCAGTCATTTATTGAATATTTCATGCACAATCAATCAAAATATTAGAGAGAATAATACTACAAACTGAAAATATTTACATTACCCATATCAAACGTGTGTTCATACTACCGACGATAGTACTTACGACTTTCAGTTTCGGCTATAAACGATTGCAGACAGTGTTTTTCTACCCAAATTCAAATTATTTATGAGAAAGTATTCAAATTAATAGAGAAGAAAACAGTTTGAGAATATATTCTACTAATAAAAAGTTGTGCAATGTCATTTATAATGAAAATTTATCTCATGTCATAAGCCAATTAGGCTCTGTGGCTAGTACAAATGATTCAGATACATCGAAATTATTAGATAATTATTTTACATTCCAGAAGAATGTTTTTTTAAAATACTTTTCGTTGTGTGTTCAAAATTTGTATATGAGTCATCGGTTTAGAGCGACATCTATTCATTCATATCTATTTTTCATCATTAATCAACTATAAAAATATAAATATTTAGTTAATATGAATAATATAAGCATATATTAACATATATATTTCCAAATTATTGATGTCATGTTTGGGATTGGTCCAATATTATTGACAAACGACAGATAAAATTCACTTGATGCGGTACAAATGAGATCATTATGGCTGCTCAGAGGACAGAGACCGCCTTTTTTTTTCTCTTCAAATGAATGAAGACGTCATGTTGATCTTTGATACATTGTATATATATCTACCATTATTTCAGATTTATAATTTGTTTTTCTTTTTGGAACAGTTTTTTAATTGTCTCAAAAAAACAAAAATAATGGCTTTTACCAATGATAATTCCAATACGAAGGTGCTTACATTAGCCGAATGTCGAAAGCTAGCTGAAGATAAAGATAAATGTATACTGTTGATCAATAATCGTGTATATGATGTTACAAAATTCCTTGAAGAGGTTTGTAATTATATATTACTCAAGAATTACAATTAACAAAAATTTTCTTATAAATATTTTAAAGCATCCAGGTGGTGAAGAAGTCTTAAAAGAACAACATGGTCGAGATGCAACAAATGCTTTTGAAGATGTTGGTCATAGTTCCGATGCACGTGAACAAATGAAAACATATGAAATAGCTCAAGTTGATCCTGTAAGTTAATTTATATTCTTTAGTTTTTTTTTTGAATCAATTTATTTCCTTTATTGTTTTTTCTCTATATCTAGAGTGACATTAAGACACCGGTAAAGGATTTTATCTATCAAATAATTCAAAAATTCTAATCATTATTTTTTGTTTTTTTAAGGCTCGTCCTACAGTTGTCAAACCAAGTGGTAGTACAGATGGTGTTCGTGATGATACTGGTTCATCGTGGACTAAATGGGTTATTCCTCTTGTGATAGCTATAGCAGCTGTAGTTCTTTTTAAATTACTTACAAAATCTAACGCAGATGTTAATCGACCACCAACAGCAATATAAATTTTTTGTTCTCTTTTTGTTTTCGTAATCTATTACCTATGATTTTCAATTCTATTTAATAAAAAGAGAAAGAAAAACAAAAAATATTAATATAAATCCAAAAAAAAAATATATTTTAAATGGTGATAATTTTTCTTCTAGATATAATCTTATTTGTATTATTATCTCATTTATATTTATTTTCCATCTTGTCGCAAAAAAATAAATCAATAAATAAAATAATTTTGCAGCACGATGGCAGAAGCGCAATTAACAAATCAATTAACACGTATTGATTCAATGACAAATGTTGAATTACGTGCTGAATTAAAACGACGTGGTTGTCCAACATCAGGAAATAAAAAAGATCTATTAGCTAAATTACGTGTTGCTTTACAAAAAGAATTTGAACAAACAGCTGTACAACATCCATCAAATATTGATTCAACAAATTTTGATGGACGAAATAATAATCTTTCTGGTTTACAACAATCACCTGTTATACGATTAGATGCTAATAGACCATCATTAGATAATTCAACAGCATCATCAAATAATTATATGACACCACATAGTGGTAGTCCAATTGTATATTCAGAACATATACATAGTGGAGAAGTTCCATTGACATATACTAATTTACAAATTCATGATCAAGTAAGAAATAAAATAATATTTTATTCTATATATAAAGAATATAAATTAAAGGATCTTTTTTCGATTTTTGGTTTTTCGTTGGGAATATAGATTTGAAGTGTCCTCTGCTAAATGCTATATAAATGAGAGTTCTTCGTTGTAAATTAGTATTTTTGATTAAATCTAACTGTCGAAATTCTTATAAGAAAAACTCGTACTACAATTATTCTTTGTATGTGAAATTCTTCTAATGATAATTTCTAAAAGTATTGAGAGCATGGATTATAGATCTCTAACACTGTTGAACACGGCTAGTTTTTGATCACTTTAGTTGAGGAGAAAAAGTTTTTCAAAATCAAGTGTTGAACAAAACAAATGAAGTTTTCTCTCAGAAGTTACGCCGCTCGATCGGACTCAGTTTTTTTAATGAGTACTATGATCAAATTGAGGTGCATGTATTTTTTTTCACTTAAAAATGTTGCTCCTACGAAATTCGGCAGCCTTTAAAAAATTATTACAATATATTTTTTGACAGTGCTTTCAGTATTTTTCTTCTTCTGAGCTCTAGGAACGATACTTTTGAAAGGAAAAAAAACACACACACACACACATACACCTCGATTTGATCCTAGTTGTCATTAAAAAAATTGCAGCTCGAAGATATCAGGTATGATTTTGTGAAGGAGACGAAACTTCTGGCCTTTGCGACTGTCATATCTTGTTGAAGGAAGCATCTGGAAATTTTGACTCCATGACAACTTTTGTTCTCCTTATCAAAATCTATCTGCCTTGAAAGTTTCATCATTTTTCATTGAGTTGTTCTCGAGAAATCCTGGA